GCAGTTCGAAACTACCAGCTGTTCCGTGGGAGAAAGATGAGGCTTTCTGCTCCCGTAAAGATTTACAGCCTCAGAAACCCTGTACAGGGTCACTATCAGTCAGTTCTGACTCCCTGGCACATAACCACCAAGAGGAGCTAGTGTTTGATCTGAGAAATGAAGAAGGGAAGGGTAAAGTGCAATTTCTGAGTTAACAAAGGGCCAGTTTGTGGGGTGGTAGCCTTAAGAAATAGAGTGCACAGGGGGTAACTCGGGCCTGTTTTATACGTGGAGAGACTTGGGATTCTGCTGAAAGTGAAACAGTATGGAGAAATGAAAAAATCGAGTGTTAGATCTTATGGAAAAGGCACGCCAGTTGGAGTCTTGCTTCTTTGTGACCTTGTTAATCTTTAGTTTCCTCATCTGTGTCATGTGCTAACACAGCCTTGTGATTTCTTTGAGGAATAAATACTGGTAAGTTAACATGTGTGAAGGTAGTTTTGCATCTTGTTAAAATACTCCATGAATGTCTGGGTGTACTCTGGTAACATTAATACATTGATATTTTATTCTGCAAGTGATTTTATTCTCAAACTCTGGCACATTAGAATCAGTGGGGGAAATCTGTTCCAGTGCAAAATACTGACTTGCAGCTTAGGAGAACTCAAGTCTTGTTTATCAGCTTTCTGTGTAGTTTGGAGAGCTATGGTTAGGTGTTTTTTTTTTTTTTTCTTTCTTGTCTTGGAGGTCAATCGTTCACTGGAAGAAAGGGATGCTGGGACCTGGGTATATGTTGAGCAACAGTTTTCTTGCATCTCACATGTTAGGATCCGACTCTGCGGTATCTGTGGGCAGTAGTGGTTAAAGAGCAAATGTGTCCGTTTGAGGACATAAACCATAGTGTTTTCAACAGCCTGACCCAAACCATAGTATTTTTAATAGCCTTATGCTTGTGAAAGTTGGATAGTGAATAAAGAAGACTGTAGAAGAATCGATGCATTTGAGTTATGGTGTTGGAAAAGAATATTAAAGGTACCATAGATGGCCAGACTTCGTCTCTCATGCTTTGGACATATTGTCAGGAGGGCCCAGTCCCTGGAGCAGAGCATTATGCTTGGTAAAGTGGAGGGTCAATAAACAAGAGGAAGACCCCAACTAGATGTGTTAGCATGAGCAGCAACAACAGGCTCAAGCTTAACAAAAATCATGAGGTTGGTGCAGGACCGAGCAGCAGTGTCTCGTTCTGTTATGCATCAGGTCGCTATGGGTACTACTCGACAGCACCTAACAACCACCATGACACAGTAGTCCAGTGGTAGAATTCTCACTTTCCAGTGCAGGAGGCCCAGGTTCGATTCCTGCCCGGTACATCTCATGCACAGCCACCACCTGCTTGTCATTGGAGGCTTCTGTGTTGCTCTAAAGCAAAACAGGTTTCCACAGAGCTTCCAGACTAAGACAGACTAGGAAGAAAGACTTGGCAATCTACTTCTGAAAACCATCCAGTGTAAGCTCTATAGATCACAATGGTCGGATCCCCCGCCAATCTTAGGGATAGTACAGGATCTGGTGGTGGTTTGTTGTGTTGTATATGGGGCCACCATGAGTTGGAGGGGTGACTTGACAAAAGTGTTGAAGAGCAAAGATGTCAGCTTGAGAGCAATATATATGGATTTTTAGTTACTGCCCTGCAGAGATGAGTTTATGTGACTACAAGACTTTGTGGTTCGCATATTCTTCTGTAAGCCCAGAAGGTGGTGGCTTTCACCAGGAAGCTCTGGTTTGATCTCAGTCCTGGGCAAGTTCTTCCTTTTCGATGACAAACGTTTATTCCCTTTCTGATTGTAGATTGAGGACACACGGCTCAACATTGACAAGATCTCAGAGCATGTAGAGGAGGCAAAGAAGCTCTACAGTATCATTCTCTCTGCACCGATTCCAGAGCCAAGTGAGTGTTTAGATGGAGCACATCAGTCAGAGATGACTTTGCACTGGGTTTCCTACCCGCTGTGAGCAGCAGGGGCGTGTGCGTGTTACATTACGCTCCTCTCCACATCACGCCATCTTCTGTCTCCTTGACCCTGTCTGAATTTAACACTGTTCAGCTCCAAGTCATCTATCTCTCCTCTTCATGGCCCCACTCAAACCATGTAGACAAGCTTTCCTTGACTTCCTGGCTTGTCTCCCTCCTGACTGACAATCACTCATACTGCTCACACACACCGTGCTGTCTTGCCCCTGTATTTTTGCTCACCTGTTTCTCCTTGCCGAAATACTTTCCAGCCCCCTTTCCAAATCCTACCTGTTTTTCAAGACTCAGGTCAAGTCACATTTTCCCCCCACAGTGTTCCAGAATGCTTCAGGTACAGCGATCTCTCCCACCCCTAGACTTCAGATAGCCCCACTGAGGTAAACTTACTTTTTCCCCCCTAATTCTTTCACATTTTTAGAGTAAGGTTGAAGGCTATCTTTTATGTTCTTTAATGACAGGTTTCAATCCTGATCTTGTTACTTCATTCCTTAAATTCTTCAGTGGTTCCCTATTATCTGAAGATTAATGTTGAAACAGAAGAGCATTTGGGAATTCTCCTTGGCACATCCCTGCCTTTCTCTCACACCTTTCTCTCACCATTCCTCCCTGTCTTGGTTACACTTTAGTCAGGTACAACTCCAGTGTTTTCTGAATGCTTCTTTCTCCTCTTGTCTGGCACACTTCTTTCTTTCTCTGAGATTCCAGGTCCAAGTCTCCTTCTCTCCTTGGCTGGCTCTGCTACTCTGTGTCATTCTCTGGGACTCCATGCTGTGATCATGCTTCTACAAGTCTTTCCAGATCCCTCCAAGCTGGGCTAGAGGGCCCTTTGTAACCACCTGTGTACACCTTGACCAGAACCCATACCGTACTCCACACTGTGTATTAGACTTGCTGGTTTATGTGTCTCTTGCCCCTCACAAGGCCCTGAACCTTGAAAGCAGCATCTGTATCTTCTCTCTGATCCCCTTGGCTTCCAGCACAGTGCTAAGATGGTAGTAGGTGCCCAAGGGGATGATCTCGGAATGAATGGACAGAGCTAATACTCTGCTCCACAAATCCTAGGACACCATAGGTTCGTAGTAGCTTGGCACTTAACTTCAATTGGGATTCTGGATGAGAATCTCTTCCCCACAAGTGCTACTAGACCCTTCTATCCCTTCTGAGTTGAACCCTCAGGGAGAACTAGATTCTTCTTTCTCAAAGCAGAGTAGATGGGCTTGCAAAAAAGGCAGCTTTGAGGGTCCATCTGGGGTGTTTTCATTCTCTAGAGCCAGGAAAATCCCGTTGCACAGTAAACTCTGTGTGACATTCTCATGACTGGTGTTTGGGGAGCACAGCTGAGAGGCACAGTACTGGGCATGGGTGCCCCCTCCTCTCTTGTGTGCTGTAGTGGACATAACATTCAGGCCTCTCTTTTCTAATGGGTTCCACCTGCCTTTGTTTATCCAGAAACCAAGGATGACCTCGAGCAGCTCACAACTGAGATCAAGAAAAGGGCCAACAGCGTCCGGAACAAGCTGAAGAGTAAGAAGGGGACAAAGGGAACACAGTCCTCACAATGTGTCCCATTCCTGAAGTCTGGCTCTCCCTGACACCTATCTTGATGGAAGCGACACCACTGCCACCTGAGCTACTGGTTGGGGTGCTGCCCTTGGATGGTCTATGGTAGCCACAGAAATTTCCCTTTCCTTCAATCCTTACTGAAGTTGAAAGAGTCCAGGCTCGAGACTTAGGAGTTGAGAATCAAAATGTGTAGTTGTGTGACTTGATCATTTTATGTCATCTTGCTACTTTTCTCACTGGTCCCCAGTCCCTCCAGCATGCACAGACATTTGAAGTATAATTTTATAGATCCACAAATCACAATGCAGTCTATAGAATAAAAATATCATTGCTTGGCAGGGAGGGGGTTAGGGAAGGCTAGGTTCATTCATTCCCTTCCCATCGCTGCTCCCCAGTTATAAGCATAGTTCATTGAAGCCACTGCCCTAAATCCAGTTAGCATGGGGCTCAGAAAACCCGCCTGGGCCTCATGGCTGTTTTCTGAACTCTTGTGAACTGTATTTGGTGACAGCACGCCATTGACCAGCTGAATTCCATCATTCCTTCCCACCAGACACATCCCAGTATTGTTTTCATGGGAGCAGAGAGTGGGATCATTAGTAGCCGCTTCCAGTAATAACAGTGATGACGTGCCTGCCGCTCTGTATTCTCCATTCAGTCTTCACATCCGTCCTGAGTGTGAATAAATCCTTGTTATTCTATTTCACCAACGAGAGACCAGCAACACTTAACAGAGTTTAAATGCCTGCCCCCCAAAATCATACAGCTAGTCAGTGACACAACAAGGATTTGAACCCAAGTCTCTTGGAGACCAAGACCTATGTCAAGATGCTGTTCAATGACCTAGCAAGAGATAGGGTTGAGGCAAGAAAGTCGTGCAGCTCTGAGAACGGCCCTTTGAGAATGGGCCCATTTGTCGTTACATCTCCGTGGACCATGTGTGTGAATAAGTGAGGAGTTGTGCATTGAATGATGAGTTCCTTGGAAGAGGGGAGCAGATGTGTTCCTAGAATATGACCTTTCTCTTCTCCAGGCATGGAGAAGCATATTGAAGAAGATGAGGTCCGGCCATCAGCAGATGTCCGGATACGGAAGTCCCAGGTAAGATTTTCCCTGATCTAAGAGTTATCTAGTCCAGTCTTTTTCCTTCTTTTTTTCTTAGGTGTGGAGTTTTTAAAAAATACAATTCTTATTTGAAATGCCATTGAAGAACGTGTAAAGAGGAGCTGCCTAGGTTGAAGCAGGATAAGAGCTGGGGGTTCGCCCATTTGTTTGGTCCACTCTCTCACTTGGCGTCTCTGAATAGGACCCTGAAAAACCAAGGAACCTCAGAACACAGCTTAAGCCATGGATTTTGTTTCCAAGATGAGGAAATGGAAGTCTTCTCTATCTAAAGATTTTAAGTCATCACTTGTCCAGTTTGGTGGTCGTCAAAGATCTAATCCTCATTTTTGATGCATTGACACAGGTGTTAGAAGGAATCTGTTACACAGGAGACGTAAGAGGAGAACAGTAGAATCAAATGAATAGTGCTGTCTATGCTGAAAGATCTCGGGAAGAATTAGGGGTAGCCAGAGGAGGCTGGCCTGTTACATGGCAACAGACTCAGAGATAGCGTTTCCCTTTTCTACGAGGCATGGGGGCAGTAATGGGGTGGGTGTGTGTGCTGGTGGCCGCAGCAGGAGGATGGGTGGTGGGGTGGTGATGGTGGTCAGCGCTGAGGGACAAATGATGACGTGAACACTCTGCTAGGAGAAAAACATTTGTTTTAGAATAATGGGAGCTGATTTTTTGGGTAGCTACTGTAGTGCCATATTTTAGAAGTCTTTGAATTCTAGCCAGAGAACTTGGAAATGACTAAATGGCCATTCACTTCAGCTTGTAGTATTACAGAGAGATAACTTGGCAGCCCTTTGAAAACGAGATCCTAGTAGGGAAGAGTCAGAGTCAGGGCAGGTAGGTCCTGAGTTAGGGTTTTGCATGATTTTGATCTGCATTGGCCATGGTGGTAATGAGATTAGAAAAAATATAAATATTGGTGATTTTTGGAAAGCAGAAATCAGCAGGGCTGGAGGCAAAGAAGTAGTAGTTAAGGAATGGAAAAAATCATCATGAATATTTAAATTTAGGCATCTAGAGCAATCTTAGGACTGTTGAAAGAATGCTCCAAGTTATAGGCAGGAAAAGTTGGGAAGGCCAGCTAGGGTGACTCAAGGATCTTTGGCAGGTATCAGGTGAGAAGGGAGTCTGGCAGTATTAGAAAGCTAGCCCAAGGGTGGCGGTTGTTGTTAGGTGCCATCAAGTTGATTCTGACTCACAGCAGCCGTACACACAACAGAAGGAAACACTGCCCCAGCCTCTGTCATCCTCACAATTGCTGTACGTCTGAGCCTGTTTTTGCTGCTTTTATGTCAGCCCATCTTGTTGGTGGTCTTTTTCTTGCTGACCCTCAACCTTTCCAAACATAACATCTGATTATTAATGGATGTTTGCAGCTGCTGTCTTTCATTTTGAGTTTTGCGACATCAGTAAATGAAGGTCTTAAAACTCCATCCACATCATTAAGGTCAACTCTACGTTGAGGAGGTAGCTCTTCCCCAGTTGTGTTTTGAGTGACTTCCAACCTGAGGGGCTCATTTCTCAGCACTATATCTGACAATGTTTTGCTGCTCTTCATAAGGTTTTCAGTGGCCAATCATTCAGAAGTGGTCAGCCTCTCCTTCTTCCTAGTCTGTCTTCATCTGGAAGCTCCACTGAAATCTGTCCACCACGGGTGACCTTGCTGGTATTTGAAATACTGCTGGCCAAGCTTCCAGCATCACAGTTACACAAACCACCACAGTACAACAAACTGAAAGACGAGTGGTGGAAGCCAAGGGTTAGTTAGATGTAAGTGTTGTAGAGTCATTTCCAATTCATAGCGACCCTGTATAGGGTTTCCAAAGCTATAAATCTTTGCAGGAGCATAAAGTCTCATTCTTCCGCAGAACGGCGGGTGGGCTTGAACCACTGACTTTGTGGCTCACAGTCCATTGCTTATCATATAGTGCCACTGTGCTCCCCAACGGTGGTGCCAGAAAAATGCTAACCATCCATTTGAATGCCAGACTTTGGATTCATAGAGATGATTTCCTTTGGGCTCTTAAATACTGTTTGAGGTCAGCAGGGCAGGAAAACAGATACTGAAAGCACACTTTGGAAAGGCCAGTGGACACTCTCAGTGGAGTAAAGCTCGGAAACCAAAAGGTGGGGTCTTATACTTGGTCTTTGGATTTCAAGCCCAGTGTTTCCAGAGACTTGACTGTGGTAGCCACAGAAGGGTCCTACACCAGTTAAGGAGACTCCGTTCCTTATGCCTGGTGGGCTTACATTGTACATTGTTCCCACAGCACTCTGTCCTCTCCCGGAAATTTGTTGAGGTGATGACGAAATACAATGAGGCCCAGGTGGATTTCCGTGAACGCAGCAAAGGGCGAATCCAGCGGCAGCTCGAAATTAGTACGTCTTTGAAGTCTGTCCCAGCCATGTGGTTGGCCATCCCCAGCTGTGAGATTAGAGGGAACAGGAAGTGACCCTATGTGGCTTGAGTGTGAATATTTGGTGCCCAAGCCCAGGACAGACCTATAGCAGTGATATGGCCTGAGTGTTGTGTCTTAGGCTGAAAGCTGGCACTAGGCTCATTAGGTCCAAGTAGTGTTGTCCCTCAGGAGAGGGACCCAGCAGTCCCTCCAAATAATTGTCCTCTTATGGAATCCCCCATTAGATCTTTTTTTTTTTTCCTGTCTGACAGCAAAGAACATATATGAAGTAACATGTACAGTGATAACTACTAGGAGGAATAAAGAAATGAATAAATCATTAAATTCCTTCAGAGGAATTTAATAAAGTAGGAGGCAGGGCCTCACAGGGTAGAATTCACTCCAAGTGGGAGAAAACTGTGAACACACACAGTTAGGGTAAAGCAGGTATGTTTAAGAGTGGCAGGTTGTCCAGGGCCCAGGAAAAGGTGGTGTTTGGGAGCAGCAGTGAAGGAGGGCTGTGTAGGAACTGGCATGCCATCCTGAGAACCTTGGGCGTCATGGTGTAGTGAACAGGACTAGCAGCCATCCTGAGCTGGGAAGTAATGCAGTCAGATGTGCACTTTCAAAAGGTAATTGTTCCTGGTGTGAAGTATGGATTGGACTGGGGAGAAATCAGGAGAGTTAGGAGGGTATTGCTGTCGAGTTGATTCTGACCCATTGCGACCCTATGTAGGGTTTCTGTGCCGCATACCTTGCGGTTCAAACTGACTTTGTAGCCCAGCGCGTTAGTCCCCAGTGCCACACCAGGACTCCAGGAGGGTATTGGGGGAGTATTATAAAGACCATGATGTTTATAGTTAAGTCGTCTTCTCTGATAAGGGCCATCAGACAACCTGTCCCCAAGCTGTGGAGATGTATCCTATCTCGTCTTTCCACTTCTCCAGGTGTGGCGCTGTGGGCTAACGCACTGGATTGCAATGTTGGTTTGAACTGCAAGGTTCAAGCTCACTAGCCACTCCTTGGAAACCCTATACAGGGTCGCTATGGGTCAGAACTGACTGGACAGCACTTCACAACAACAACACTATCTCTGATACTAGCCTCCCTCCCTCCTTTTTTTCTGCCGGGTACCGTCTCACTGAGCTCCTGGACGGTACTTACGGTAATGGGGTTTGTTAGGGTAAAGGATCCAACCTAGGAGTGATAGGCAGTGTCTGGAAGGGTCCCAGAAGGCAGGTTTCCATTTTCCTAAGGAGACCATGCAAGGGCAGATGATCCAATAGGCAGGGTAAGCATGGGGTTACTTGTTCTTACTAATTTCTAGTGAACAGTTTCACATGGAATTCAGCATGCATGTGAAATTGTTCACTGTGGATTAGTAAGGAAGCACAAGTAAGCCTGTACTTAGCCTGCTTACTGGGTCCGGTGTCCCTGTCAGGGACTGTGAATTAGAAAAGAGGCTTTGATTCTGTGGAAGTTGCTGTGGGGTCAGGAGACAGACAGGTGTCACTGGGACTGGAATAGCATTTTTGATGCAGTGGAAAAGGTGCATTGTTCACTACAGATTAGTAAGTAAGCACAAGTAAGCCCATGCTGAGTAAAACAAAGGAAAAGCATACCTCTTCGTCTCACCAACTGGGAAGTTCTTGGAGCAGAAAGCTTTCTGAAGTTCCTTTTAGTAACCCCCATGCACATATCAGCTGCCAGGTCCACTTCCAGGCCGATTGTTGTTGTTGTTGTGAAGTGCTGTGAAGTTGGTTCTGACTCATAGTGACCCTGTGTAGAGCCTCTGAGGAGCAGCTGGTGGGTTTGAACTACCCACCTTGAGGTTAGCAGCTCAATGCTTATCCTCCAGTGTTACACCAGCCAGACTGTTGATAGCGACTCTGTGTTGGGTTTCCAAGGAGCAGCTGGTGAGCTTGAATCGCCGACCTTGCAGTTCAAACAACTTTGCAGTCTGGTGCATTAACCCACAGCGCCACACCAGGACTCCTCAGCCAGACTAGCATCCCACAAATTCTCAGGAATAGTTAATGAACCTTAATTATCTAGGCAGAGTCCTGGTGTGGCGCTGTGGGTTAATGTGCCAGACTGCAAAGCCGTTTGGACTGCAAGGTTGGTGGTTCAAGCTCACCAGCTGTTCCTCAGAAACCCTATCCAGGGTCATTGTGGCTTGGAATTGACTCGACAGTACTTCACAGCAACGACGACAATTATTTGGGCAGTCGCCAGGTTATTTTTCAAAAACTGAGGGCAAAGACCACATGAGGGAAGTTGTCATACCACCTCACTGTATTCCAAGTTTCTAAGGAACTTCTGAAATGGTGTGTTTTGATCTTATACCCTACTTTTTTGTGATTAAAGCCGGCAAAAAGACAACCGATGAGGAACTGGAGGAGATGTTGGAATGTGGAAACCCTGCCATCTTCACATCTGGGGTGAGTGATTTGGGGGCTAGATGGAGACCCCATCCATCATGGAAGACTGTGGTGCTGTTCTTTGCGGTATTAGCGGCAAAGCGGGAGGTGGGGAGGGATGTGGCCCGTCCTTCAGTACACGCTGCCTGAGAGCGTGTGTGTGGCCTTTGGCAGATCATCGATTCCCAGATTTCCAAACAAGCCCTTAGTGAGATTGAGGGACGGCACAAGGACATCGTGAGGCTGGAAAGCAGCATCAAAGAGCTTCACGACATGTTCATGGACATCGCCATGCTGGTGGAGAACCAGGTAAGTGGCAGCGGGTCCCAGGGTGGGCGGAGAGGTGAGCACAGCTCAGGTTCTCCTGGGAACTGGGTCTATTGGAAGCCCATTGTGGTGGGTCAGGAGATTTGCATAGCGGAGTAAGGGAATCCAAGGAGTGCTGACCTCAGCCTTGCTGGCCTCACCTGGCACTTTGTCTTCACAACCATTGCTTCTTAGTGTGGGGTTTTGATGTGCTCTGTCATGTTCTTAGTTCCCTGTGGACTATTAGGAGAGAGATGGTTCTGAATAATGATGTCATAAAGCAACACACTGTTTTACTGTTGAATTGAAAAGACAGGTGGTCCTTTTCCCAGTGAAAGTTTTAATAGAGATTTTCTTTTTTTTTCATTTTTATTACATTTCTGTTTTTTCTTCACGCATGGACTTTTCTCAGAGTGTTCACACTTTTTGCTAAGGAACGCAGACAGGCAACAAAATAAATGGCGAGAGGACAGATAGATATTTACAGAAAAACTTGAGATATACACGGTACTTGGTTTGGCAGGTTGCCCTTGGGCACCCTTGCTCAGGGGTGGGATTTTAGATGGCTGGCCGGCTGACATGTGGTGTGTCACTGAGTGAGATGATGCACTTACATGTACCAAAGGACCGTGGTGTTGGGTTAGATGACCCCGGTTGTCTGTCACCTGAGTTCCTTAGCTGGACCCCAGGATCTGATGAAGGCCTGAACACTGCTTGTCCACTTGCTGCATGAGTCCTCTGCTCAGGGCCCAGCTGTACCCCAGCCCCTTCTGTCCCTTGAGAACATTTCTCAAGTCCCTCTATCCCCACTCTTCTTTTTCCCACAATGCCTTGCCGAGGAACTGGTTTGAGAGTCAGGTGATGGTAGGTAAGTGTATCTTTCTGTTTACAGACTCCCACAGAGTGTAGTGGGGATGGATTGAGGAAAATCTAGGCGAGTGGGAGAATTCCCATCCCAAAATGCCTAGGAATTAGCTGAAGGAGTGACCAAAGTTCCCTATCTGGAAGTGAAAGCTGGGAAATGGTTGGGAATCGTATGAAGAGACTACTGGTTTAGATGGGAAGATACAACAAAATCAATGACTTGGGAAAACCCAACTTTGTGGCCTGAGAATGTCTCTTGGTGAAAGCAGATATTCCCAATCTCAGATATTCTGAGTCCTCAGTATGATCCAGGAGTCCTTGGGGTGCAAAGAGTTCAGCACTTAACTACTAACGGAAAGGTTGGCAGTTCAAACTGACCCAGAAGCTCCTCAGGAGGCCTATTGATACATTTCCAAAAGACCACAGCCTTGGAGCTCCAGTAACGCAGTTCCACTCTGCATACATGATACGGCTGCCTTGAGTTGGAACCGACTTGATAGTAAGCGGCCTTATGCTGCACACTATTCTATAGTTGTGAATTGAATCAGTGCAGGAATGAGTGAACTTGATTCAAGTCTGGTTGGCCAGGGAGAGACCAACATCCTGGTTACGCCCTAAGAACATGATATGTTCTTATTTTGGTTTCTCCCCACCTGCTTAAAAAAGGTAGGGGTGGGGATCTCTCAGAAGCTATACATCCATACAGGTCCTGGGCATTTGGACAGTATGCTCTAGGTACCCAACACAGTGTCTCACAGAGAAGGAATTCAATGAAAGTTTTCTGAATGGGGGTGGTGGTGGTCACCACCAAGAGCTGGGGAGTCACAGGTAATCACATGGGAAGTAAGTGTACCTATGGGGCCCCTTCCAGGTTTCTGGGTGCTCCTCTTGGCACTGTATAGGAAAGAGAATACCTTTCTCATATCAGCCAAGACCGTTTATGGGTGGGTTCTGTTGGGTATGATCAGTGTCTTCTCTTTACAGGGTGAGATGTTAGATAATATAGAGTTGAATGTCATGCGCACAGTGGACCATGTGGAGAAAGCCCGGGATGAGACTAAAAAGGCAGTGAAATACCAGAGCCAGGCCCGCAAGGTGAGACTCTTCCCCGCCTTTGGAGAAGAGTGTCCATTCTGCTTGCCGTCTCTTGCTCGCTCTCTCCTCCTTCCGCATCTCTGTTTGCTGCTGCTGCCACTTCTTGCATCTGGGGAAAGGGAGCCATGATTGACCGTATTGAGAACAACGTGGACCAGTCAGTGGGCTTCGTGGAGCGGGCTGTGGCCGACACCAAAAAGGCTGTCAAGTATCAGAGTGAAGCCTGGAGGGTGAGCACGTTGGCTTGCTTGCCCCTTCCTTTCTCTGGTCTTCCCTTCTGTGTCCTGGAACCATACTTTCCCTCTCTATCCTGGCCTCATCCAAGCCCCAACACCAGCCCTTCCAGAGACTAGCTGCCCTTTCCTCCCAGGTGTGCCTTGCATGGATCTGGCTCAATGCTTTCATTCTAAGAACCCACCCCAGAAAGGCAGTTCTGTGGACTGCCCACTGCCCATGTGTTATTACTAATTGGGAAGTTCATAAAACTTTCAGATATTACATTTGATGCCTCTGTTCTTTAGAAACTTTCTCTTGTCTTCCAGTAGTCCTAGCCCCCCTACCCTTTTTCTCTACCCAGCATCATGCTCATTGCTATGTAAATAGCTCTGATCTTAGGGAGAATCAATTTCTACTTTATAGATGAAACAGTTGAGGGTCAGATGCTAAGAACTTGGCTTCAGTCTACCTAGCAAGTATAGGAGCTGGGATTCTAAATTAGATTCCAGTTACACGCTTTCCAGCACCCCATCATGCCCTCCTTCCTGGTGTTTCTGCTGCTTGAGGCCTTGTGAGTTTCTCCTCTCACTGATCATGAGTTTTCAGTTCTGGTGGCTTCTGCTTCTTGGATTAATCTTTGACTCTTCCTTTTGGGCTTTGGAAGTTTTGCTTTTGGCTCTTGACTTTGCTTCCAGGTTCACCTGTTGCTTAAGCAAGGCTTAGGCAGTTTGGAAGGCATTTTATATGATGAACCCAGATTGCTTCAGGATAGCCATAACTGTCCTTTCTGACCTCCCAGTCAGCATATTGGGTCTGCAGGTCAGAGTGTACTTTAAGGAAGAGGTGAACAGATGTGTGAATTTAGGGCTAATATCAAAAAAGTCTTTGCAGTCCCTTTTGAAAGGGAGAAATTGGTGATTATATATATGCGTCTTGGCTAGTTGCTGCTTAGAGGCAGACCCCATGATAATTGCTCTTAATGGAATTCTCCACATTTACAAGACTTGAGTGTGAGCTGGGAAAAACTCCCTGCTTTCATCTACTGACATTGTTAGTAAAAAGGGATGTAAGAAATGTGAAATATCTTTATGGAGAGATGTAGGCTTCTTAGATGGACCCATAAGATGCTTTCTAGGTAGGCGAGAGAGGGGCTGGATTTTCGGATATCTTAATTTTGTGTTGGGGGGTGTTGTGTATATTAATGATGTTTTTCTTTCTTTCATTCCTCCAGAAATTGATAATTATCATTGTGATTGTGGTTGTGTTGCTGGGCATTTTAGCATTGATTATTGGACTTTCCGTTGGGCTGCAATAAGGTGGCCCACGCAGCTGCACTGAAATGTAAGTAGATGGTTGGTCCCTGGGACCTCTGGGGATGGGATCTCTCATGAGGAAGTCAGCCTGGGGTGTCCCACCTCCAGATGATTGTCCTTGGATGTTCTGAGCGCTCTAGAACTTTCTGCTGAATTCTTTTTCCTCTGGTTCTGGCTGTAGAAGTGGGTAAGGTCTCCTATCTGTTCTTGTCCTATGGATTCTTGTCCCTGCTCTCGGCCTTATCAAGTCTCCACAAGTCTCCCTTGGTATTACTCAAGCACGCAGGAAGCATGGCTCCTCAGCTGGGTACCACCTGTGTCTTGGAGCTGTAGTCTGTCTTCTGGACTGTCAGTTGGCTTTCGCGGGTGTTGGGCTTTGCTTTCTGTGCCGTTTCAATGTCAGTGAGGCTTTGAGCTGGGCTTTGATTCTGTGGGATTGTTTGGGACTGGTGGTCTGGCTGACCTTATTGAGTGTTTCTGTTGTGCCGGATGGTGTACCGAACACTGTATAGACATCCTACCATTGGAATACTTATAACACCATTATGGAATAAGTACAACTATTACTATCGCTAGTTTACAGATAGGAATTTAGGCTTAACGAGAAGTCAGGGCAAGTTCACAGAGCTGATAGCAGACCCAGGAAAATCCTATACTACATCTTGGCTTCTCTTTGTAAAAAAACAAAGTAGCCGGGTTTCATTGTCTCCAAAGTCTAGGCAGATCTTAGAGGACAGTGATTTTTAAATTTAGGCTATTTCTTGAAAGTTTTGGTATAAAAGAGAGAACTAAACATTGACTCTCATGTCTTCACGTGTACAACAATTACATGAGAAGCGTGATCTATCTGGCTCTGTTAAAGTTTCGGTGCGATTTTAAAATACTTCCTTCTGAATAAAATATGGTATGTATTTTTTTAATTTCAAAAAGCCTATAGTATATAGCCTACAGAAAAACATGAGAGGATTTAATTTTTAATACTATTGCTACAAATCTTGTAGCATGTTCATGCACCAACACAGATTTATGTAGTTCAGACAGAATTGACAATAATTTTGCATCCAGTTACAAAAGCATAAGCAACATTCCACATCCCTAAAAATCTAATTCTAAACACCCAAGATTGGAGATATACTCTCAATTCTTTAACTAACATTATTAAGTATTTTTTTTGAGGTTTAGGTTATTTTTATGTAAATAACAGTGGTTAACCTAATATAACTTGTTTTTGTGTGTGTGTGTTTCAAATTTTCCTCTATTGTAAATCATAGCAGGGATTACTGAGGTAAATCCCCCCCCCCAAAATAATAATAATAATAATAAGCCCAGCTGTCGAGTCCGTTCTGGCTCATGGTGACCCTGTGTCGGGTTTCGGAGGCTGCTAATCTTTATGGGAGTAGAAAGCCTCATCTTTCTTCCATGGAGCCAGGTTGTAGATTCCAACTGCTGACCTTGTGGTTAGCAGCCCAACCTGTAACCCACCCTACTACCAGGACTCCTTACTGAGGGTAATGACCATGAACATTTTTAAGACTTATTCAGACTTCCATACTGATTTGTAAGACTGATGTTGTTGAGTGTCGTTGCGTTGGTTCCAACTCATGAAGACCCGGTATAGGGTTTCTGAGGCTATAAATCTTTGTGGAAGCAGAAAACCTCATCTGTCTCCCATGGCTGGTGGGTCCCAGTCCAGCGCTTATCCTACAAGGCCATTGCATTCATGAAGGTATTTTTGCTTCACTGGGCCCGGAGGTCTTTTCTCCATCTGATGAGAAGATCTGAAAGTCAGGCTGTTACAGCACCAAACACTCAGCTGCATCCAGAGAGAGGGGCAACTATGAGGTGACCAAGCTCTTGGAGGGAATTTATTGGTTTATTTTTTTGCATGGAAGTACTTGGGAAGCTGGCATTTGGCATCTAATCCTTGTTTGGTTGTTTTTTTCCTTATAAAAGTTCAAGGTCGGTTCTGACTCTTTGTCTCATTGGCAAGAAGATTAAAATAAAATTAAAAAACTTGATGTAATTGTTCTCTTTCCATAACCTTAGATGAAAGATGCCTTACCAACTCATGATGTCTGCTTCTAACCATTCCTAACTCAAGGAAGTGAGGATGTAAATGAGTAATTGTTTCAAGATGAGGAACCCCATTAGTATATACATTAATTTGTATGACATCACTAGTATATGTCTTTTTAAGATTTTACAGATCTATGTATGTATGCTGTTAAATGCCATTGCGTCAGTTCGGACTCCTTGCTACCCTGTGTCCAACAGAAGGAAACCCTGCCCAGTCCTGCCCCATCCTCACGGTTGTTATGTTTGATCCCACTGTTACTGACATTGTGCCAGTCCATCTCATTGGAGTCTTTATCTTTTGTTGCTGACCCTCCACTTTACCAAGCATGATGTCCTTCTCCAGGGACTGATTCCTGTTTCAACACGTCCAACGTACGAAAGACAGATTGTCACTATCCTTGCTTCTAAGCAGCTGTATTTCTTCCAAGATAGATTTGTTTGATCTTCTGGCATTCCATGGTACTTTGGATATTCTTTGCCAACACCATAATTCAAACCCATTGATCTTTCAGTTGATTAACTCCCATCTTTCTTAAGATGCTAATTTACAGAACAACTAAACTGTGGAGCTGTTGACCATAGTTTATTCCCTATTCCCTAATAAAGTTAAGACTGAATGTTACTTGGGTCTTATGCCCTCCCTCCTCCACCCCACGCTCCCAAGTGAACTGAGAGAGAGAGGTCTCTATAGTGGAAGGCAAGAACTGATGTTTATGATCCCAGTTGTATGCCAACTACGGCTCTATGGTAGATGTCACTGTCCCAGATGTATAGATGAGGAAACCTTTTGAAGCTCAAAACGTGTGTAAACTTCCTGGATGTAGCTGGGATAAACCAAGCTCTTTTCACTGTGCCCTTCTACCTTCCAAGAGAAGGGAAGGAGTCAGGGAGAAGGTTCGAGTACCAGAAAGTGTCTGACGCTTACATTCCAGAGAGGCTCTGGTGTTGTCCCTGCTGAAGATGGGTGCTTTCAAGCAGTAAGTGTGCCTCTCCACTGACATGTTCCTTCCATGGGCACGTGAAGTCCTGTGGGAAGGCTGAGGAAACATTCCGAGGTTTGTCTGTTTTCCCCATTTCATTATAGGGCCTTCAAGGTCCGTAACTGCTAACCTAAAAGTTGGTGGTTTGACCCCACCCAATGGTCCCGCAGAAGGAAAGGCCTGATGATGTACTCCTGTTAAGATTCCAGCCAAGAACACCTCATGGAGGAGTCCCACTCTCTATCTAACACATAGGGCCTTTTTAATTTTCTTGTTATTGTGTAAGGAGCCCTGGTGTTGCTGTGGGATAAGCATTGGACTGTGAATCACAATGGCAGTGGTTCAAACCCATTAGTCACTTTGCAGGAGAAAGATGAGGCTTCTGCTCCCAACAAGAGTTACTGCCTTGGAAACCCCAACGTTGTAAGTTCTACTATGTGTCCGCTACCATCATTGTGAACCAGAGTGGATTCAGTGACTGGGCTTTTAGCTCCCTGCGCTGTGGGACATTTAATTCCAAGCCCGGTGGTGAGCGGATCTGTTTGGTGTTTCAGGTTGAGTGTTGACTTTGTGGTGTCCTCTTTTTTCCCAGTTATTTCTGATCTTCCACCTTCTGGGTGTGGCTGACGCCTCCCGTTGACCTGCTCCTCCTTCCCCTACCTCTCCTAGAACCTGATTTCACTCCAGCCTGGCGCGGCCTCCCTTATCTTCAGATGAGACTGGAGTTCTGAATGGCCTTCCTGAGAGCGAGTGGGACCCGTGCCTTTGTTTCCTTGTAACCGTCCTTGGACCTGACCCAGCCAACAGTCTAGCCCTGGAGGAATGTAATCTGCCTGATGCAACCCCAACTTCTCAAAATGTCCTGCCCACCAGCTTTGAAGAACCTTCTCTCCTGGATTGTTTGGACCAGCTCACCTTCTCGTTCCTCCCTCTGGTGTCAAATTAGGCCTTGCACCTTGGAGAGCCTATTTGAGATCCTTCCAAGGTGCTGTTATTTTCTACCTCAAGGAGTGTTCTCCCAGATATTACAATGTATATGCATTTTTGAGGGGATTTATCTAACAAAGCCAAGGGATTCTTCCAGATTTGGCCATAGTAAAGCTTGGAACTGAGTCTTCTGTATGGCAGGGGGCCAGTTCTTATGGTTTGTCATCTTTATATCCTTAAATCCTGAGAGGCATACAGATGTCATTTTGGTCTGAGAAGCTGACTTGAGAGAAATGCAACCTTAAATGCCTGGTATGTTCAGCTTGGAGCCAACATCCGACTCTGCCTCTGGTGTTCCCTAATATTAACTCACGATGCGGGCAGGATGATTCAGCCATCTGAGGTACCGTCTGCAGAGGCTGAGGATGTGGGATGTTTGCTCCCATGCCTGAATCTAGGAAACCAGCTGTTCACTGTTAGGGTGATGCTTTGTGAAACTACCGCCTTGGGCCAGGGACCAGGTGTCGAGTGTCAGGCTCTGGAAATGTTTCATCAGACTGGTGCAAGTAACTCGTAGTCACTCATTTCATGTCTTCCAGGTGCATGTTTTTAATTGTGTGTGAGATGTGTGTCCATTTATGTGTGTGTCCCTCAGAAAGTAGGAAACTAGAAGTGGGGAGGATATTGTGACCTCAGTAACACAAGCTTGAGCAGAAGCTGAGAATTCGGTAAGGGATAATATAATGAACCGCAGCAGACATTCCATCTTTCCATACCACCAGGAACCCTGCTATTTCCTGAATGAGTACTTAAAAAAATCACGAATCTTGGCGGTGAAGACTAATTTTGCCCCTGCTAAGTTGCTCTGCTTAGCAGACAGGAGTAATGTTGTCTTGATACCTCTCCCCAGCTGCTATCTGGGCTGGGCTGATCCAGAGAACATCCCACAGCAATTAGGTAGCATTCCAGTGACTTCTGGGCTGCCCTGTCTCATAGCAAGTTACTACTAAGTAGTTCTTCCTGCTACCAGGTTCAGGAGATCAATGGGCTCTTCATTTCCCTTAATTCATACTTCTGCGAAGCAACAAGTTGGGGAATTTTCCAGTGAAGTAATTGTGCTGTCCCAGTGGGACGCCTCTTAGATCCCCTGAAGTTGAATACCAGGTTTACTTCCGCTTTGACTAATGCTTTCATGACAGGGTAAGCACCCAAATCCAGACACTGCTCATGAACTTCCTGTGAAGCATTCAGACAGAGCTGGGCCCGGGATGCCCTTCCTGCCCGTGGCTATGACGTCATACACTGGCTAAGGGAGACCATTCTAATCACAGACTTTTGCTGTCCTCTGAGATCAAGGCCTGGGGGTTATATTTTGGAAAACAACATGTGAAGGGCTTTTTTGTTGTTTGTGTCTTTTTTAAAAAAATGTAAACTTGATTATTTTGTTTCTAATTTAAAAATAAATGACTTTATATCGATCATGAAACAGCTCTGGCTCTACCTCTCCACCTAAACACTTAGGGATTGGGTGCCACCGTGTGGTGATTTGGGATGGAGACGCAAGTGTTTTCAAACTCTGTGCTGGACCAGAGGAGTTGAGAGTTGTCTGAGCTTTGAGAATGGTTACACCTCTCAGGGACTTCTGGTGTGGCGCCGTAGGAACAGCACTGAACTGCAAACCACAAGGTCAGCAGTTCAAATCCACTGGCTGCTCCTCAGAAACCCTTATACAGGGTTGCTATGAGTCAGAACAGACTTAACGGCACTTAACAACAACATGCTGCTTAATAGTATGCAGTGGGGGTGGGGTGGTGTTTGAGTTTTTCATATTTGAGGCTCGCCTCACAAGAAGAGTCTTTGCATGAAGAGATCATGCACAGTCTTTGGGTCTGGAGAGAAACAGGAGACTTGTTGTGACGGTGTTTGGAAACCCCTGACAGAATGACATCCTAAACCTCCTCCGAGAGTCTCCTTGATCTCATTTCTCAATCTCTCATCTGGAAAAAACATTTCTCTTAACACTGTGGGTTCTAGAAGCCAGATCCATCTCCTTTTTTCCTTCTTGTGTTCCCCTTTCCTTCACATCCTCTTCCGCATCCAGATCCACTTTGGTTTCCCTCCTTCCGGCACTCTGATCTGCACAGTGATGATGGTTTTTCACCTGCTGTTTTGTTCTTGTCCGGTTGAGCAGAAGAAGATCATGATCGTGCTCTGCTGTGTCATCCTGGTGACCGTCCTAGCATCTGCCATCGGGGGCATATTTACCTGAGAAAGGTGAGCCAGCATGGGGGAGGTCAAGCGTGCTGTTAAATGATTTCAGACTCTTGTGTCCTAGAGTGTCTGGTGGGATGAGGTGCTGGAATCAATAAAGGTTAGAGGAAATAAGGAAAGTACTATTTCATAGAGAAATGAAGTGTGAAGAATGAGTTGGTAGCAAGTGGAGAGAGAGGGGCAGGTCTACTAAACAGAATGCTTTGTACAGGCCAAGAATGTTGACATTGTCTACAGCAAAATTTGGGCCTTGGTATCTGGGAATGGAAGGAACTCTGGTAGTGTAGTGGTTACGAGTCAGGCTGCTAACCTCAAGGTTAGTAGTTGAAAACTACCAGTTCACGGGAGAAAGATGAGGCTTTCTGCTCCTGTAAATATTTACAGCCTCAGAAACTCTATGCAGGGTCGCTATGCGTCGGAACCGACTCCACTGCGCACTACCACCACCACCACCACCTGGGAATGGCAAAGGAAAAGAATGAGTTTCCAAATTAGGAGCACCCTGAACTCTTTGAAAGTCTATTCAGTAAACCCAGACAGTTGTCCTCTGTTACAAGGTCAGGACAAATTCACACAGCCTCATGACTGGTTTCTAGACTCTTCCTAAGAGGGCCTCAAACACAGTGCTATATGATCTGTGATTTTTGAGCTAGATGATGATTCTATGGTCTTCAGCCCCCACCATGGGTCCTCGACCGGCCTTTCTCATCCTCCATCTGTGTCTGTCCTCCACTGCAGATTCAACAGTGACTTCTCCTTCCATAATGAAACCTCTCCTGACACAGGGCATTGATCAACTAGGAAAAGTTAGGCAAAGCCTCATCCTTCTCCCGCGGAACAGCTGGTAGTTTCAAACTGCAGACCTTGAGGTTAGCAGCCTGATTTGTAACCACTATGCTACCAGAGTTCCTTAAAGGGAGGGCAGACTTTGGAAAATACAGACTTGGGGGGGGGCAGGGTTGAAGGAATAAGGAGTTCAGTAAAATACAGCTAGTTGTGCAGATGGTTTAAAGGGGCTGTAGGGTGGAGGCATATTGACCACCTACCTATTCAGGAAATGAGTCTCAGAGACTGCTCTGAGGGCACCGTTACAAAGAGGCAGATACTGCCTAACACCTTATTGAACAAGATCTTACCTTAACTGCTCTAAGTTCATCAGCAAGATCAGGGCATTTGTTGCTTTCGCTCTTAACCTTCTAAAATCAACTCTACGTCTGGGATCAACCCTACTTCTCATTTTTTCTTTCGGGCCCAGCAGTAGTCCCGAGTGAGGATTACTGAAGGATACGTACTGTGCATGTCTTGCTCTGTTGTGTACCCATTTCTTAGCACAGTGCCTGCCACTTAGAGGTGCTCAGTAAATATGTGTCATTTATCTGTAATTAAACTTGAACTGTGCCCATGGGAGTTCTCAGAATTGACTCTTAAACCCTTTGAGGGAAGATGGGTTTGGTGTCGGAGGTTGTGTGAGGGGGAATTCTATTAACACAGCCTCTCGTTCTTCGAAGATGGGCCTCAGGAAATCTTTAGTTCAGTAACTACCATGGACCCAAACCAAACAATTGATGGTGGTTGAAACGAAGTTGTCGTCAGTACCATTCTTTATAAAGTAGTTCAGTTCTGACCTTAACAACAAATAGATTCAGATGTCACGTGAGGGGATGAGGCTTCCGCTTGTCACTTCTCACCTGATGAGTGTTGCTAGCTGTAACGGATTCTGTTGGTTGTGTACAAGAAATTGTTCCAAACACTGCCCCACTGCAGGACTCAGGTGTTTCTTCAGCTTTCAAAGCAGCTACATGAGTTCTAACACAAGCAACTTAGTGATTAGTCCATTATCAGAGGTTCAGTTAACTATTATTAAAAATCACAGTATCCAATTCTTGAGGACCATTTACATTTATCTTAGAAATGAATTATTTTTTTTAACTGGAGAGCTTATTAAGTGAAAAGTGGAATATTAAAATGTCCGAGTTTAGTATTCTTATCAAGCTGTATTTCCTTAATTAGAGTCGGGTAGACTATGACAAATAAACTAACCTTGTTAAAGGCAAATGGGGGTTTGACCCGTGGGCTCTCATTCATCTAGCAAGGACCTGAGTGCTTTGTGGAGCACAGCACTACTGGATGCTGCAGACTCAGGAAACGCCACACAACCCCAGCTCCTTTTCATTGGTTCATTTTGGGAGAAGGCTTTTTTCCATACGGCCCAGCATTTTCCCTCCAAGACTAAGACAGATAGTTGGGCGTCAATAAATATTGAATCAATCAACTTATGAACTGTCATTTTTCCTTTGCTATATTCTAAAACCACTACTGAGTTTGTTTGTAACTAGTAAAATCTCATAGAAACTCTCTCCTGAAGTGTGTCCACATAAGGCGTGGTACGGACCTCAAGTCTGACTTGCATCGGAAGTAGGGGTTGCCCTGGAGACATCTGTCTTGCATTCACAAGCAGTCCTAACAACCAACCAGGCCTGTTTTTTAAGCACTTTAAGGATTAAGAGGCACCAACGAGAAGTTATTTCCTGAGAAGATGCTTGAACTTTATTATAAATATAAAAACTCTTTTAACAGATAATACATTTCCCCAAATATCATCTACTCATATGCTGGATCTTAGATATGATAACGTAGGGCTGCCAAAACCTGGGTGAGCTGATAGGAATGAAAATGCAGATTTCTTCTCTCCACAGCCCCCCACACTGTCACTGCAACTACACCCGCTCAGGCATGTAGAACTTGCCCCAGTATTTACCCTTCTGGGTCAGGTCATAGGGGCTCAGAACTTTCCGTATCCCAAGCATGTTGGCAGTGGCTATGCGTTCAAAGGTCCAGGGGTTCTGGTTGTTACGCTCTCGTTCCTCTTGCTCTTTCTGCATTTGCTCCAGGGTCTGGCGGCTCACAGCCTTTGCCTTGAAGGGCAACTTGTGGGCCACCTGGTTGAGGAAACCTTGTACCTCTTTGAATTCACAACGCCCACCCATCTCTACTATGAGGCGGCCGGCCTTTATGGGTGTCACGTAGTGGTCGATGGCACCTTTGCCTCCCCCCATGCGCTGCCCCATACCCTTGCGGGTGATGGGCTTGAAGGGTGCTGGAACTCGCCATATGGCAAACATATTCTTGGGGTCCATGGAGCGGTTGATTGTCAGGCGCATCATCTCAAAGTGGCCCCAGCGAAGGTAACCACCACCCAGTGCCTACAAGTTATGGAGAAAATGAGAAACATACGGGGACCTAAATAGCTTTGATGGGCTCTAAGGTCTTTTATAGTAACTATGGCTTCAATGATATGCATGAAAATGAAAATTCTAAGTTCTAATAAACACCCTGGGGGAAAAACTAGGGTACTATGATAGAGGACAAAGAGGCCACACGACTTCAGTGGATGGCCAAAGAAAGCCTCTGAGGGGGTGATTTTAAAACCAGGGCCAGAATAATGAGACCCAATCAAGAAAAACCTCAAACCCTCAGATGTTCCAGGCAAAGGAGCAGTGTATGTGAAGGTCCTGCCTGCGAGAGCTAAGGGCCTGGTGGGTTTGAGTAAAAGTCAGCGTGCCTGGGACACAGTGAGCCTGAGGTTTGAGATGAGCAGGAGCTAGTCATACAGGCTATGGGAAGAGGATTTTATAACCCCATTCTGCATGATGGAGAATAAATCCTAGCCCACATCCATCTGAGTAGCTACTGATATGAACGCTCCATGGAAACTACTCAGTAAGGAAACAGCTATCTGGTATACTAACATGAAGTTTGTACTGAAAAGATCCGCAGGTCTTGACTGTGGGCAAATGAAGTGGTACACCTTCCCGTTTTTACACTATTTTCACTGTGTGGCGCTGCAAAATAAGCACTGGACTGTGAACCACAAGATTGGCAGTTCAAATACACCAGTAGCTCCTTGGAAATCCTATACAGACAGGGTCATAATACGTTGGAACTCACTCGACAGCTTTTAACAACAAAAACAACTACATTAAAAAAAACAAAACAAAAATATATACACAATGTTTACTGGGCACCCAACAATCTCCCTGTGAATCAATCCAAAGAGCAACTGGTGGCCACTCAGAAGAGTAGGTATAAAACAAAACACTAGAATTAACTCAGAGTTTGAGATGTTAATCACTGCTCTCCATCCTGTGGCCGTTAGATGCGGTACTCACCAAGATTCCAAAACTGCCCTCTGTGAAGTCCGTGGCTTCAGTGGAAGGTCCCCGGATGTCACTCAGGTTTTTAGGTTCTCTCTTCACTTTTGGTACCAGTGGGACCCTCTCAACAAACTTCAGCTTAGGCCTCTCTGGCATGGAAACATCTTAAAGGAGTACAGAAAGACAATGACTGAAACTGCACATCTCAATGAGGGGAAAGTCTTCAAAGGAAGTTACCACTAAACAATTCCAAGGGCTTCTATCAAGGAGCTCTGGTAGCGTAGTGGTTACGAATCGGGCTGTGAACCTCAAGGTCAGCAGTTTGAAACTAACAGCCGCTCCACAGGAGAAAGATTTCTGCTCCCGTAAAGATTTACAGCCTCAGAAACCCTGTTCAGGGTCACTATGGGTCGGAACCGACTCGATGGCACTTAACAACAACATGTTAAGTTTAAGGAGCTCTGGTAGCGTAGTGGTTACCAATCAGGCTGTGAACCTTAAGGCCAGCAGTTCGAA